TAAGCCCTAATATATTTATTACATTTATATATGTATATATGCATAATGTGTGTATTAATGTATGTGTATCATACATAAAAAATACATCAGTAAATAATGAAGTTGTAATTTGATTTTATGATATGTATGCATGTATGTATGTATGATGCATGCATTACATAGACTATCGTGTAAATAAGATTAAAAGTTTAATATTTTAATAGATATTTTAATTTAAAAATATTATAAAAATATATGGATGTGTGTATGATACATATGTTATATGCATATATTATGTATGTATATATGTATGTATGATGCATGTATTAAAATTTTAAGTTTTTTAATTTAAATAAATTTTAAAATTTTATAAATGTGGTACATGTCAACGAACAATTTTTTAATAATCGTGACAGATCAAAATTTTTAAAAAAATAATATTCGAAATATTAAACACATTACTTTAAATAAATTTTTTAAATATACCAGGTCAAACCTCCACTTAATAAATATACCAAGTCAAACCCTCACTTAATAAATATACGAGGTCAAACCCCCATTTTTTTTGCACATTAGCAAAACCCATATCCCTTTTATTTCCCTACCAGGTGCATTTTAGCAAAACCAATTTTTTAACTACCGCCCATTTTCTCCACCAAATTCAACATCCCATTCTTTTTAATTTTTGGTGGACCCACGCGTGGATTTTAAACCACAACACAATTTCTTTTAAAAATTTATCCCTTATTATTAAGCAAATCCATTCTCAATAAAACTTCTAACACCTCATCTCTACGTTTTTCTTAATTTTTCCCCTTGTTGTCCACTACCTAAATTTTTTTATGATTGACATTTTTCTTTTCTTTTTTTTTAAATGAGAATTTGATTTTTTTTTTATTTTAAATAATGTGCATGTTTCATTTTCTTCTTTAATATTTATTTAAAAAATTATATTTTTATTAAGGTAGTTTTTATATATAGGTAATTTAATATTAATTTGCTTTCATTAATATTGTATTTCTAAAGTATTGTATTTCCTCCCCCTTCTGTTGAAATTCTCCTCCCATAATATGCTGCCCCCAATCCTTGAATTTGCTAATGAAAACAATATTAAATTAAGCCCCTTCCTCGTGTGTTGCAGGGTATGGTAGTGGAGCATGGTGGGGTAGGGCTGTTGTCGGGGGCACGAGGGCATAAGTAGCAGTGGGGAACTGAGATGTTGGGTGTGGTTTTGGTAGGTTTAGTAAAAGTATTGGTATATTTAGACTAACCCAAGCCAATATTAGTTGGCTCCGAATCACCCGTCTCTAAACTCCTTCTACAACTTTGATCAACCGAATCTAGGTAGTAGTTGGCGCCATATCACCCACCTTTAAACTCCTCAAATCACCCACCAATATTATTTGTTGTCAATATTAGTTGCTTGCCTAGATTCAATAATGGACTGCCCATTGGTATAAAAAAGGTAATATTGCAAATATAAATAATTAAAGGGTAAAATACTCAAATGATCACTAATGTTTGGTAAAGTTTTCATTTTCACCACTGATGTATCAAAAGTCACAAATCATCCACTAATGTTATCGTTTGTTACAAATTGGTCAGTCAACGTTAACAGCCGTTGACAGGCGTGACAAAAATCACACGTGGGCCGTTAGATGCTTACCTAGATGGTATAATTACATAAATAGTTCATGTTATTTATATATTCTTTCAATTTGATCATAGTTTAAATAAATTAAAATAAATTTATCTACGAATCAAGATAAAAATATATATTTAAAGTATATATTTTATTTTAAATATACCTAAGGTTATTGCTACTATTTATTGAATTAATTTTGTATAATTATATAAATTAGATCACTAATTTTTAGTTCAATTAACCAAACTATCATAATGTATACAATTATGCAAAATTGATTCAGTAAATAACAATAATAATCTTATGGATTATTATAAGTTCATTATTTTTAATTAATATATTTTTTAAATTTGGCTTAATACACATTTTGTTATTGTAGTCAACTAGAATCAACAATATTATTTTTTATTTTTAGTTTTATCAATATATCAATCGTACCCATTAGTGTTATATTTGATCTATGAAACATGTCATTGATTATTACGGTATCGACATAACAATTAACCGTGATGACATGATAATCTATGGTGTTGATGTGTTAAATGACTTTAATTGATTTTTTAAAAAAGTTTAAATGATTTATTATGTTTAAATATGTATTTAATTTTTAAACAACAAAACAAGAAATTCTTAAAATTCTTAAATATAACAAATACAATAAGATGAGACACATTTAATTTTTTTATTGTAAAAATCAAAATTCTTATTAATATATTCACATAAAATAATAAAAAATAATAACTAAATGATCATTTAAAAACTCAAATAAGTGTCATCTTAGTATAAAGTACATAATACAAAATAATAAAGTGTTGTTTAATATAAAGTATATAGTATATAAAGTGTTGTTTAATTTATTCATTTATTCATTTTTTTATTTCCAATTTCATGTTTGTTTAATTTGATACTTTATATATAGAGTATAAAATATATAATATAAAGTAATAAAATGTTTGAATATAAGTATTAAAGTATATTAATATAAGTATTAAATATAAAGTATATAAGTACTAAAGTATATAATATAAAGTACTAAACTATATAATATAAGTATTAAATATAAAGTATTAAAGTACATAAATATAAGTATTAATTATAAAGTATATTAATTATTATAATTAATATATTAAATATATTTATTAATTTAATTATCATAATTAATATTTTATTATAACATTTAAAAATTAATCTTATTAATTAGTATGATTTATTATAAACTCAAAATCTCACAATTTTATTAAAATCTTATATTTCATCAATGGTGATATATAAGTTAGGTAAATATCAAATTAAGTAAATATCATATTGATCAATAACAAGTCGGATCATTTACAGATCAGGTTCATAACAAGCCAGGTTGAAAACAAGTCGGATAATACCAGTTATTTACCAGGTCAATCTCGGGTTCGGATTCATATTAGTCAGATACAGTCGAGTATCATATTTTCGGTTCAATTCAAATTCAGGTCGGGTGCAGATCGAGTTCAGATCTACAATTTTCAAATCCAACTCGGGTTCAGGTCAACACCAATTTCGACTTGAGTCAGTTTCGGATCGCTACAGCTCTGATAAAAACAATTTTAACTCGAATCGATTTCACTCAATTTTATAGATCGGGTCAAATTTTTACACCCTAGGTATTGGCAAGGGAATTGGAAGAGGGCATTGGGCCACTGATAGATGGCAGAACATTAGCCTAGAGGTTGCACATCCATATGCACCATGTATTGCATTCTTAACTTAGGAAACTGAAGCAGTACGACCTCCTGCAACGAAATAAATAATCTCGATTTCAGGGCTGCCAATGCGACTTCAGAATGAGAAAATTGCTTATAAAAATCACAATATCTTCACTCTGACACAAGCCTCTCCGCCAATAGATGATTTTAATTTAGGGTAAAATATACAAATGATCTACTGATTATAGGAAGTTATTTTATTGAGTCCCTCAACTATTAAAAGTTATAAAATAATCCCTCAACTATAGAATGTTGTTTTGTTGAGTCCAACAATTAAAAGTTACAAAATGATCCCCGACTATTTACATGTTTCAATAGTCTTTTTTCGTTAAAAAATTATTAGATTGGGCTGAACATTAATCTGATGGCTGAGATACGATAGTTGTTTAAAATTTTAAGATCAGATTTTATCATATCACATCTGACAGGTTAATGTTCAACTCAGACGGTCGTTTATTTTTTTTTTTACAGAAAAAGACGAGTTTTGATCATATAAATAACCCAATAACTATTTCGTAACTTTTAATAGTTGAAGGACTAAACAAAGCAACCCCTATACTCGAGGGACTATTTGTGTACTTTAATTTATTATTCACATCAAGATATGATTCATCACTAAAAAACCTATCCTGCTAAGGTGTTGAAACTTAAAGTATCACTTCTGCAAGGTTGCCTTACTGATTACATATACCAATTCGAGTGGTAAAGCATTTAATGAGCAAGGATTTCTAAAATGCTTGTTGTAATGTGCCTAATGCTTCTTAATCATATTCAAGGAATAACATAATAATAATAATACACTTTATCTGTAGATATAAACATAACCTTAAAACGGTACCTGGCGCAATTGCTCCATGCACAATCATTGATTCCACAGCCTGCCAATCATCCACATCCTCTGCAACCTCTGGAGTCAATCTCTGCAGATTTGCAATCAATGATTGCTCATTCTGTCTCCCTGGAATTCAGAATTTGGAACAATCAAACCACACAATTTGGTTTTCCTCAGCAATAACTCATTTTCTTACTAAAAAGGAGCATGAACTGAAAAATCGTTTTTATAAAGGATCAAGAGGGAAAGGACTTCACGTGGTACCTATCAAACTGGGGCCTGGCATTTCAACATCCATAATGGCCACCATATTCTGCCTGGATTGTCCAGCTAGCATTTGTACAATGCCATTAACATCCACAGCACCACAGACATCAGATGAATCTGCTGTAGGACCAAGTGCCTCCATGCGGAATGGGAGACTTGTAGAGTGTAGAGCTGCAGCATATACGGCACTGCAGTGGTAGGGACTCACATCTTTAATGTTGAGGAAAGTTGAAGCTTTACCTTTAAATTTAGGTGAGCAAAATCTTTAGTCCATATTAAGAAGATAGGGCCAGGACAATTTCATCAAAGGGTATCAAGCTAATAGGCTATCGGCATAAATAAAGTAACTAACATGTGACATGCATGTTTTGACAAAATATGACTCAGCTTACAGCTGAACATTATAAGATATGCTGTATGATCAGTAAAGAAACTGTATGTCGTATGTACCAAGAAAATCCTTGTTATGAAACATATAAAATTTGAAACCATGTAAAATCATATGAAACAAATACAAAAATAATATAGAAGGCAGCCAAAATCATAATTTGACTTACTCCTTACTCAAGAAGGGTAAACCAACGGGCACAATCAGTTTACAAAAAGATGATAATCTTGAGAAAGATACTGCATCATGAAGATCTCTTACAATTTTCTGCTTCCTGCTACTTAGGTTCATACGAGAACTAGGACCCCTAACAGCATATAACAACACTGGAGTGTTTGCGTATTCATCAGAAACACTTTCCAGAAAATCAGCAGCTAGTGGGGAGAAACCTCCCGAATCATCAACAATGAATTGAAAACCCTGATGACATCACCAATAATTGACAAACAAATTAAACTAGCAACATTAAATCTGAATATAAATCATGTTTAAGCGATGCTCAAGCTTAAAATTAAAAGGGAAATGCGGAGAGCTTTCCTAGCCAAATTATCCTAGGCATCATTAAATGCAAACCTCCAGAAAAGTTCATTAAGCAAGACCATCAACATCCATATAAAGATGACAACCAAACATACATATAAAGATGACAACATTCAGCAAAGGATCATACTATATAGGTCAGTTTTACCTGGACATGATCACACTCTTCTATGAAGAACCGAAGCCTGTCACATATTTCTTCTCCTCGTAAATTCTCCATGAAGACATCTCGTCCACTTCCATAATTGTCAAATTCTTGAGCATCCATCCACAATCCATTTATTTCGTACAAACTCTGAGGATGATAGTGGACTTTTGAGAAGTCTGTTCAATATTGGACTCCTTTATCTAAACAACTGACTATATTTGTATCCTGAATTTCATTTATGAAGCCTTTGCCCCACCATGGATACCATTCATCAAAGGGGCATCCTGCTCTTCCCGATACAAGCTTTGCAAGAATAAATTCTCTTCCTAGGTTCAGATGCATGAGTAGAAACATCTCCCACCCTGCAAGTTCTTTTGAAGACGTTCAAGTTAGCTCATTTATAAATCTTATGCACCCAAAGCTCACACACACACACGTCCAAAGCACATAGCCTAGAAATTCAGAAGATTTATAACTGTGAATTTTATGTAATTAATTACAAACTTGTGGTAAAATAGTGCTGCAATAAAACAGGAGTCCATTTGCATTTATCACAATATATCTTTAAGAGTTCCAAAACTTAAGTCTTAACCATAAGCATATACCATAAGTAGTAGTGGAAATCAGAAGCAGTTGCTTTTGTTATTACAAAAGAATTACTTATAGTAGTAAAATGAGGCTGAGACAACATTATTTCTATTTTATTGCGAGGAAAGCATTCTTCATAGAGAAAAACAGTACATATTTATGAAATAGAACAAGAATGATCAGTAAAAAAATCAGCTTCTGCTAGATATTGAACTCCAACACTCAACCATCTAAATGTCACATTAAAAGGAAAAAACAGCATACTGTTACTGCTACTTCTATTTCTTTTTGAAGGGGTAGAGCTCAAAAGACAATGGGGAAAAAAACCGTACGCCATAAAACTTATGCAATTAGTTGAGATTAGGGCTATAAATGAGACGAGACAGATCGCGAGCTACTCGAGATCGACTCGATCACTCGCGATCTGTCTCGATTAAGGCTCGATAAATACTCGGATCGAATGGACTCGACTCGAACTCGACTCGATAAGAAATATATTATTGATAATTATTGATAATTATTGATAATTATTGAGCCTTGATCGATCCCTTATAATGTGACAATCACTCGAAAAGAAGTCACATTAAAAGGAGTCACATTAAGAAATATATTCACATTAAAAGCTCGGATCGATATTCGACTCGAAAAGCTCGTTAGCAGCTCGAAAAAAATTATATTATAATTTTAGATTTTTTAAAATTACATTATTAAAAATACATTATTGATAATTATAAAATTTTAAAAATATATTAATATTATAATTTTAGATTTTTTAAAATTACATTATTAAAAATACATTATTGATAATTATAAAATTATTATAATTTTAGATTTTTAAATTACATTATTAAAAATACATTATTGATAATTATAAAATTTTAAAAATATATTAAAACTTCTATAATACAACTAAGACATCTCATCCCTTATAATTGTGATAGGATTCGTGGTTTAATGTTCAGGGTCTATGATTTAGGGTTTAGGGTCTATAATTTAAGGTTTAGGGTTTATTATTTAAGATTTACAGTTTAGAGTTTATGGGTTAAGTTTTAGGGTTTAAGTTATGCACATAAAGCTAACATATAAATTATGCAAAATGATGTTATGTGACTCCTAAATAAATCATTCGCATACTTATACATAAACATATCAACATGCAAAATAAATATACACAACTACTTTTTTTTATAGAAGTTGGAGGTCTCATTAAAAACTCCTTCGTATTCGTTCACATACTAAGAAGTATGTTAACGAACATTGGAAGGAAGAAAAGAACACCTCAAAGTTTATTAATAATATTACCCAATACAAAAGATTACACGTAATAACCTCCTATGGTGATATACACCATTACAACAAACACCTTAACCTCATTAACCTCATCCAAAGTCACAGTCTAATCACCTTAATTCTAATTACATCTCCAGCAATAGGGTTAAAACAACGCAACAAAACATACTTCAAAAGAAAGCAACACCTGCAACCATATAAAATAAATCAAACCACAAATAGAAAGACGAGATCTAATGAGATTCGTCTTCTTCAGGAGTCCAAGAGTTTGGCTTGAATGAAGGCTCTATCTCATGCACCATGATCTTGAAGGAGTTGTCACCAACCTTCAATTCCAACGTCGCATCAATTCTCGCACCAACCTTTGCGAGGACTTGAATTCTTGCCGATCAAAGGATGGTGGTGACTGACAGCTTTCATCGATTGCTAGAATTGACCCCAACTATTAGCAATGTTCTTGAAAGTATCCCAATTCCATGCATGAAACGGAACACCCTCGCAAACTAACCATACTCGGCGACACTCCATTACCAAACTCTCTGACCAAGCTTCGACTATGGAGAACCACTCTGCGAGAGTCTCTGATTTATCGTTCTTCACACTTCTAAATGAAGCAGAGTCTTCGAAAATCATTAATACCGCATTTCCAGCAGCTCTCATTAAGGAGAAGTCAATTAGGCCCTTCGCATGCATTTGTGTAGCAAGATGACCGATTTTAATAAAGTTTTTGTACAACCCCACTAGACAATTACTCATCACCTGAAGTTTTTCTTCATCCACCTTCAACTTTATAATGATTCTTCCTCGAATCATCTTCCATCCCGGACTTGCGGAGAACACCTGTGGAAGACTTTCTCCAATAGGAATGACGAGGTTTGAATTTAGCGAAAGAAACACCAATTTTGCTACCGTCGATAAAAGAGCCATTCATTTTTGAGGTCACTCTCCTTGCTTCTTGGATTGAAGCGAAGCGAATGAAACCAAAGCGAACTCCTTTGGCAATTGTCACATCAAAAAGTAGCTGTGAGAGTGGAGTTGTTGAGAAGGGGGTTGATTTAAGGGAGAACATTCTCTGCCCGTTTTGTAATCAAGATGCTGAATCAGTTTAGAATCTATTTATTTCTTGTCCTATATCTTGGGAACTGTGGATGAAAATTATAGGATACTGGGGTATTCGGCTTGCTCTTCCGCAAGACCCTCCTAAACTGCTAAGTTCATGGGCTGATTTGAGGCCATATTCTTCTATATGGAAGTTTATTCCAGGGGCAGTTTTTTGGTCCATTTGGAAGTTAAGGAACGAGATCATCTTCGACAAAGGAAAGTTGGACAGAATCTCTTTATTTTTCACTGTTCGATTCAGAGTAGCCAAGTGGTTTGTAACTAAGTATCCCCTATTTTCAACTCAGGTTGATTTCTTAATTGGTGACCCCTTTGTGGCTGACAACCTTTCAGACTCTAAGGCTTTGGACAGTATTGTGTTATGCTGGATTCCTCCTCCACTGGACTTCTTTAAGATGAATGTGGACGGGGCGGTGAGTAGTGTGGGGATGGTGGCTGGTATTGGGGGAATTCTAAGGGACTGGAATCAGGTGGTACTGACTTCATTTTCAGTAAATGTAGGTCCTAATACTCCCATCCTAGCATAAATGAAGGCTATCAAGAAAGGCATTGACATCTTTGTTTCATCTGTATGGGCTTCGAAGGGTAGGCTCATTATTGAAAGTGATTCAAAGACAGCAGTGGAATGGATTAAAGATCAAAGTTCAGTCCCCATTTACCTGTCAATTTGTGAAGGAGATTGCGTCTGATGTTTCTTGCGGACAGCTAGCGAAGGAGGGAATTGGCTTATTGTATGCTTTAGTTGGTTTGTATGTCTTTGAGGGGAGGTCATGCAGGAGTGTATCAAGTCTTATGTATTTTTGTATGAGTGTTTTTAAATTTTATGTAATTGTTTATCATTAATAAAATGTACTCTTTTCCTCCTTCCACTAGAGGGTTCTTGCCTTAGGGCAGTGGATTACTTAGAGGGAGGTTTTTAATGAGGCATCCTATTCCTATAAAAAAAAAGCATCAAGCACCTGACCGTGGGAGCAAATTAAAGATCCAAACCTCTTCCAATGGATCTTCTCAGGTAAATTTTCAACAAATAACGTGTAACATCCAGACTTGTCAATACTGTACTCCTTTGTGGTAGATTCCCTGGTTCCCTCGTGGACACCATCTACTGCAGACTTTTCGTCGCAACACTCAGTTTTAACAGGCACATAAATACTAGGAGATGCTACACAAGCTGTATTTGGCAATGGCAATACTGGAGGAACAGGAAAACGTCCATATTTGTCTAAAGCATCAGAATCAGTAATTATACCTCTTTTAACAACAAGATTCTTCCTTGCCATCTCAATGTGCAAAAGGGACTTCAACTTAGAATCAAAAACCATTTTCTGAAGGACATCCTTAGCAGCAACTGCAAATTCTGCATTTGAGAAGAGAACGAAACCCTTAGGCTTTTCTCCCTTATAGCTCAATTGAGAATCTTCAAAACCTGGAAGCCATCTCAGAAGATTCTGCTGGAGAGAAGGGGGAATTCCAGCGTCCCACATGAAGAATAACTGTTGAAGTTAAAAAACCAGAGACTTGACGAAAACTTTCCTGGTTGCGCGCCCGGCGTGGGCTATGACTGCCGGCGAAGAAAGAAGGGTGGAGGTGATGAAGAGATCCAACATATAGATCTTGAACCTGAGGATAGATGAACTCCGTAGATGTCCGGTCAAAAACTAATACACATAGAATGACCACGAGTCTGGAAAGTAGAAAACAAGTGTTTTGTTCGCGAGAATAAGACGAGCCCAGAGGAAAGAAGATGTATTGGTGATGAACTCTGGCGTGAATCGGAAAACCAAGGCGTTTAGAGCAACACCGAATAAATGACCTTGAAAATCTAGTCTCGACAAAGGAATCAGAGTGGGGAAACGATCCTCCTGAGGAAAAACGGCGGCGAACGGATGACGGAGTGAGGCGGTGGGCGGCGGGAGACGAACAGTGGACGGCGGACAGCGGATGGCGATGATGAACGTCGGCGGACGGCGAAGGAAAAGATGAAATGATGGATGAAAGCAAAAATGCCTTGAACCAAGAAGAAGCGAGAACTTCCGCAAGGCTTTACTGCTGTGAAAGTTCGCACCTTCGATGGAGAAGAAGATGTGTCGCCAACAGTTGCTAGTCGAAGGCCCTTTCCAAGATCCACTGAGTTGTAGACTCACCCTGGCGTAACGATGCTTAAATCCGGGATGTTGGCGTCGAGACGATAAAACCTGGAAATTTTGGTGGTCAACAACA